AGAATGTTGTGTTGTGGTATTTCTCCTGGTGTTTGTATTTTTATGGTTTTTCAGTCAATTTATTTTTGTTCATATTCGAGCTCCTTTGACGAAAATTTTGTTTGCTTTCATGGAAAAGGAAACAAAAAGCCATACACGTTGGCCATCCAGATGGCGAACATCCCATGCATTATTGTTTATTTCTTGTGTGTGTGTGTATCAGTGTATGGTGACGGAAGTTTAGTGTATGTAAATTTGAAACTTAATTTGGTTTCATTGTGTCTACATATTTATTGATGTCACTTTATATGACTTGAAAATCTTCGTAAATAGTAGAGAAATTGCTTATTTCAGGAAATTAATTGACACATATTTTTTCTATAATAAAAAATACTCGACATGCAGAGATACAAATAAAAATTTATGAGTTTTATGTGTGTATATATTATTTAAAATCACAAAAGTTAGATAATAAGAGTATCACATTTTATAAATTTTAATATTGTAATAAATATAACTTATTTAACTTACATATAAACTAATGGGAGATTTTACACTCTCGTTACGGAACCATTCCGTTGGGATTTAGTAATCGTTAGATCAACTATCCACGACGGTTTACATGATGATCTAACGGTTATTAATCCCGACGGAATGATTCTGTAACGGGATTGTAGCATTTTCCTAAACTAATATGTGTACCCTGCAATGCACGAGTCTTTAATATAAACAAATAGTCTTATATTATTAATATTTATTTATATATTTTATTTATCAATCATCAATGAAAATTTATCCGTTTGGTTATTCTATTAACAATCTAAGAGAATATGAGCTAAATTTAAGACTAGTTTAAGACTATAGTTTATATTACTTTGAGACTCAAAAGATGAGTCAATTATTAATTCGGGACTGAAAAGATAAAAGTTATCAGTTTATGCCCGACATATCTATTATAGTTGAAATCTCTAAAGGTAAAATATACAGTTTTGGTATGGAGTCATCGAATGGCTCGGTTTATGGATTCATCCACACTTATTCACCAATAGTGTATTGACATGTGTCCTGCAATAAATACACTTTAAACATGTGTCAATACATTAAGTGGTGGATGACTCCATAAGAAAACCATCCGATGGCTACATAAAATTTTTGGTAAAATACATTTTATACTTTATTTATACTGTGATATTTTTATTTATATATAAGTTTTATATCTTTTCTAACTTGTATGACATATTAAAAATTTCTTATATTTTTCATATCGTTTAAGTTTTTATTTATGGTTTGAATTCTTTTTTTTATATATATATATTTTTTACAATTATATTCTAATTTTTAAATTGAGTGTTGAATCAATAAATCTCATCTTTCATACACATAATTGATAGTTTCTTATCTTGCAGATCTGTAATGAATAGAAATTGTCTTTCAGGGCCGAACTTATAGTTAACTCGTCTTTCAAGACTCACTTATAGAACTCCATTTTTTTATAATTTCTTGAATCAAGAAAATATATGTTATAAAGATAATGTTTTTTATTCTCGAGTTAATTATTTGCACTGGAAAGGCGATCCGCTAGTAATTTCTCATTTTAAAGTTAAATTGTTCAAAGCAAACCACTTTTTTTTATTATTAATAAAGTAGTTCTAATCTATCCTATATGTTGGAGCAATAAAAAATTATATATATCTCCAATTAAAATAATCTCTATATTAGTTAAATAAAAATAACGATTATGAAAAGAAATAATTAGTTTTATCCCTGCCTATTACTAATTAATATAGAAAAGGAAAAATATCATTAGTATTTTACTTTTCTAAAATAATAGTCTTTTCCTTTCTTAAAAAATATAAAAACATGACTTTTAAACATTAAATCATATGTAAAATATTAAAATGCTGTAAATATTATATTTGGATATATTGATGTAAATGGCTAATTTTAAATTTTGAAATTTATTGTGGAAAATATAATACAAAAATTATTGTAGTCTATTTTTAAACATATTTTCATTTTTAAACAAGTTTATTGATACATAAATATTTTGAAGAAATAATGACACATAAATTGTTCTAAAAAAGTGGATAATATTTTGGCCTACAATTTGAAAATGAAAGTCGATATGATGCCAAAAAAGTAGGACAATATTAATGCATACAATTTTAAAAACTAAATTCACGAAGAAGGATAAAAAGCCAATGTAAAATTTTATTCAAAAAAAATCCTTTATAAGAAACTCAAATTATTTAACAAAAAAGACAACTTTATTTCCACTTTTGAATTAAACATCAACTTCTTTCAATATATGAGTTCATAGCTCATGCGATGCACAACGCAATAATGTAAATCATATAGACTAACTTAGTGAATGAATATGAATTTGTATAAAAAGAATTTTGAATATAAATATTAAGTTTTATTTTTTTCTTTTATTTCAATGATATATAATATTTTATTATGAAAATTTAAAGAATATAATATAATTTTAGAGTTCTGGTATAGAATTAAGGTATATGAAAATCTAATGTATTCAAAGTTTCAAACGTTATCAATAAACACATCTGTTTTTTTATGTGCAATATATCTTCATTAGATATCCTTTCCATAGTTTCTGAGAAGATGTTGATACTTGATACCTCTGATGATCCAATAGTTTGTGATCAAGCTCTTCACTCATGTGGTTTAATACAAGATACTGGTGACCACGTAGATGAAGATGTTGATACCTCCAATGACGCTAACGCCTTTTAGAGTACATTTCAAGTTTCAATTAAGACAATTCCCTTTTATGACAATTAACAAGAGTCAAGATGTTGGCTTATTTCTGAAGAAACTATTGTTCCGTCATGACCAATTATGTGTCGAAGACGTTGGCTTATTCTTGAAGAAATTGTTTTTCAAACATGACAAGTTATATGTTGATGTCTCATGCATCACTAACCGAAAAAGAGTTTGAAAATATTAATTTATGAAAAGATGACTTACCAAAAATAAAAAATAAAAAATAAAAAATCAAACCATAAATTTTGTGTAAAAAGAAATGTTCGATAACATTATGATCTTTCATCGGAGTTTAATATTATTATTATTATTATTATAGTACATTATCTTCCTTGTGCATCGCACGAATGCTTACTATTATTATTATTATTATTATTATTATCATCGTACATTATCTTCCTTGTGCATCCCACGAATGCTTACTATTAGTAAATAAAATAGGCGAAACTGATTTATGATCACAAATCGTTTACTCACATATCACGAAGATATCATTCAGCCCTTAGGCCTTCCATGTTTCAGACAAT